ATCTAGTTGTTGACTCAAGGTACACATCTAGTTGTTGACTCAAGGTGTCCCACATATCTAGTTGCTGACTCAAGGTGTCCCACATATCTAGTTGCTGACTCAAGGTGTCCCACATGTCCAGTGTCCCAGTTCCCAGTTACTGATTCGCATTATCCCCCCCCCCCCCCCCCCCCATCCTAATGATTCGTGGTATTTAACATATCTAGTTGTTGACTCAAGGTGTCCCACATATCTAGTTGTTGACTCAAGGTGTCCCACATATCTAGTTGTTGATTCAAGGTGTCCCACATATCTAGTTGTTGACTCAAGATGTCCCACATATCTAGTTGTTGACTCAAGATGTCCCACATATCTAGTTGTTGACTCAAGGTGTCCTACATATCTAGTTGTTGACTCAAGATGTCCCACATATCTAGTTGTTGACTCAAGATGTCCCACATATCTAGTTGTTGACTCAAGATGTCCCACATATCTAGTTGCTGATTCAAGGTGTCCTACATATCTAGTTGCTGACTCAAGGTGTCCCACATGTCCAGTGTCCCAGTTACTGATTCACGTTAATTCCCCCCCCCCCCCCCATCCTAATGATTCGTGGTATTTAACATATCTAGTTGTTGACTCAAGGTGTCTCACGTATCTAGTTGTTGACTCAAGGTGTCCCTCATATATAGTTGTTGACTCAAGGTGTCCCACATATCTAGTTGCTGATTCAAGGTGTCCCACATGCGCAGTGTCCCAATTACTTATTCGTGTTATCCACCCCCAATCCAGTGACCCAGCTACTGAGTTAAGGTGTCCCACACATCCAGTGTCCCAGCTACTGAGTTAAGGTGTCCCAAACATCCAGTGACCCAGCTAGTGAGTTAAGGTGTCCCACACATCTAGTGTCCCAGCTACTGAGTTAAGGTGTCCCACACATCCAGTGACCCAGCTAGTGAGTTAAGGGATCCCACACATCTAGTTGTCCAGCTACTGAGTTAAGGTGTCCCACACATCTAGTGTCCCAGCTAGTGAGTTAAGGTGTCCCACACATCTAGTGTCCCAGCTACTGAGTTAATGTGTCCCACACATCTAGTTGTCCAGCTACTGAATTAAGGTGTCCCACACATCTAGTGTCCCAGCTAGTGAGTTAAGGTGTCCCACACATCCAGTGTCCCAGCTATTGAGTTAAGGTGTCCCTCACATCTAGTGACCCAGCTAGTGAGTTAAGGGATCCCACACATCCAGTGTCCTAGCTATTGAGTTAAGGTGTCCCTTTTCTGACTTATCTAGAGTGGTATGTTTACAGGGCATATGGTTAATACTACTGACTGAGTTCACGCCTGCGCAAATGTTTAGAAGGTCAGAATATAAATATTTACTAAAAATAGCATTCAGGGAGTACCCTTGTGAACCAAATAGCTTTCTTTAATTTGTTTTTAGATACTTTTTGTCATAGCGGGCTCATGGTAGATTTTTTCATTAGCTAAAGTGAGAGGTCATGGGGTCAAAGCATGAATCACCTGAAACCAATTTTTTAACTCCGAGGAAATGCATTTCATCGAATGCTTCACTCTGTTCATGTTTATTGCTAACTTCCCTTTATATACTTCGGAGGGAGGAAAACACCTTGTTTGGTGGTAAAAGCTGTATACTGAGTACTGAAAGAGTGATAAAACTGTGTACGAAAATTGTTTCAATGGCTGTGATGATAGCTGGGTAGTGAAAGCTGTATCATGAAAGTTGTAAACAATGTGGTGAATGTATGATGAAAATTGTAAACAACGTGGTGAAAGCTGTATAATGAAAGTTGTATATTGTGTTGTGAAAGATTTAAAAAACCTGTGCATGAAAAAATAATTTATATTAACTGTGGTGAAATTTGGGTGGTGAAAGCTTTATAGTGAAAGTTATATATAAGGTAGTGAAAGCTTTATAGTGAAAGTTATATATAAGGTAGTGAAAGCTTTATAGTGAAAGTTATAATATAAGGTAGTGAAAGCTGTATAGTGAGCCTGAGCATGCAGGCATTCTCTTTGTATTGTCCCACCAAATTCATTTTAAACCGTAACGCCCCTAAAATACTGGACATCCCTGGCAACTCCCACATTCCCTTTCTTTGGGGAGAAATCAAATTAAGTAGCTAAAGTTGTATACTGTGTGTTGGAAGATCTATAAACTTGAGCATGAAAAGTGGGATGATAGTTAAATATATTCTTCATCTTTATTTAAAAAAAAAAAAATTTAAAAGAAAAACAGTTCAGAAAGTATGTCAAACTTAGGCTAGCAAAACTACAAATGTGAAAGTATACTGACTGACTGACTGGCAACTAAAACCAATCGCATTGCTTAAATTTTGGCCCCGCCCATGGCTCCGGAGAGGTCATCTTCATAGCTGTTGTCCCAGTCTGGATGTAAATCGACTAAATCGGAGATGTCCAACCTCCCGGTGTCGGCCAGAATGGGGATTGGTGAAAGAGACCTTTCTAACTCCTTGTCGTAGACAGCTGATGTGGTAAGTGGTTGGGCGTGTAGGATGGCAGCCGAGGGAAGAATTGTGGCATGTAACATGACTGAGTCAGCCGGCACTTCAGGTGGTGCTGGTGTCGGTGAGGAGGTCAGTGGTGCTGCTGTTGCCATAGAAGGGGCGGATGGTTGCACCGGCAGGCTGGCCATGTCTGCAACTGTCTGGGACTCCATACCTGCATTGATACGTCTGCGTGGAGAAACTGTTTGCGAAGAACTTGTTACAGAAGAACTGTTATGGAGGTCATCATCGCTCGCTGAATAGGGAGGTGGTGGTTCATCTATGGATTAAATATAAACACATTAAGGTGAAGGATACTAGTGCTATGCCAACAAATGTATCGTGAGGTTTTATCCTTGATCAAACTGCACTGGCTAATTGATGAGATAAATATCACACAGTCACCGAATCCTGAAGACTCAATCACAGTCACCCAATCCTGAAGACTCAATCACAGTCACCCACTCCTGAAACCTCAATCAATCTCCTTAAATAAAAAATTAAAAAATAATCGGGAAAAAAAAACCCATTTTATTTAGCTGTATACTGAACACAATGGACTCTAAAGCTAGATATACCAGAACAAGAGTGGGGGTTCAGAACTGTGCCAATGTGGACAGACACCACAGAGTTCTCAACATGTGCTACACACACGCTCTCTACATGCAGGAGTGAAGTCCCAGGTGGACAGACACACAGAGTTCTCAACATGTGCTACATACACACGCTCTCTACATGCAGGAGTGAAGTCCCAGGTGAACAGACATCACAGAGTTCTCAACATGTGCTACACACACACGCTCTCTACATACAGGAGTGAAGTCCCAGGTGGACAGACACCACAGAGTTCTCAACATGTGCTACACACACGCTCTCTACATACAGGAGTGAAGTCCCAGGTGGACATACACAACAGAGTTCTCAACATGTGCTACATATACACGCTCTCTACATACAGGAGTGAAGTCCCAGGTGGACAGACACCACAGAGTTCTCAACATGTGCTACACACACACGCTCTCTACATACAGGAGTGAAGTCCCAGGTGGACAGACACCACAGAGTTCTCAACATGTGCTACACACACACGCTCTCTACATACAGGAGTGAAGTCCCAGGTGGACAGACACCACAGAGTTCTCAACAAGTGCTACACACACACGCTCTCTACATACAGGAGTGAAGTCCCAGGTTTGGCCGGTTGGAAACCAAGCTGCCTGGAAGAGTGAAATATGATGCACCACCGACTTCATAGAGGTCTGTGGCCTACTCATCCAAAAAACTGACAGAGAGAACGAAAACAACAAGAAGAAGAAGATAGCGTCTTATCTCTAAAAACATTTTTAGGTATTATTTCAAGTCTTGGGTCCACCCCAAAATCATGTAGTCATGATAAGTGATAAGTCCTTACCTTAAGATAAATCGACAGCCTGGGACATTAAACCAATAGTAAATTCCCTAGTAACTGTGCCTTATTGGCTCCATTATATCAAATATGGAGTTTTATTTATTAGTAAACAAATTTATCGGACAGAAAATACAGACGTCATCTGCAAAATAAATTTTCAAATCTAACTAAAGTTGACGCCTGTGCATCAAATAACCCTCAAAATTAGGACAAGGACAAAGTTATAAACAGGAATAGCAATATGAAATTATGGAGTCTCATGTTTTTCCTGAATTTATGGAGTGTCATGTTTTCATGAAGTCATTGGGTCTTATTCTAGGTGATACAAGAGGAAAAGGCTCTCTGAAGAGAGACTGGGTCATAAATAATAAACCAACACAAACAAACAAACAAAAACATGAGAACTTACTGAACTTTGCATGTATAGAGTAATGGTCTCTGGTCCTGCGATAATTGTGAACTTTCTCCTTAGCCTGCTGAACCTTGTAACGAGTCACACCAGAGCCTGAAATAAGTTAGTTACAAAGTAGTATAACAATTTGAGGGACCTAGTGATACAGTACTGACAGACAGAGCGATCAAGCATTACATTTCAATGATTGGGTTGATAGAGTGATCTAACATGACATTTACTTTACATCATAGTTCTGATAGCGGCACTAATGATTGTGTACTCACTAAAAATTGACATGTACTTTTAAAGAGGGTGTATTTTTGGGGGAACAAAAAAGCTGCCTGTACTCACCACAAAGTTTCAGCAGCTTTTAACAAAAAATTGTCCCCCCCCCCCCCCTCCAAGATGCTTCGTATACCAGAAAAAACACTCTTGCATCTATATATCCACATTTCCCAGGTGTCACTGTTTATTCGCTGTCTATGTTGCTGTGTTACTGCTCCAGGTTGCTGTGTTACTGCTCCAGGTTGCTGTGTTACTGCTCCATGTTGTTGTGTTTCTGCTCCAGGTTGCTGTGTTACTGCTCCAGGTTGCTGTGTCACTGCTCCATGTTGCTCTGTTACTGCTCTATGTTGCTGTGTTACTGCTCCATGTTGCTGTGTTACTGCTCCATGTTGCTGTGTTACTGCTCCATGTTGCTGTGTTACTGCTCCATGTTGCTGTGTTACTGCTCCATGTTGCTGTGTTACTGCTCCATGTTGCTGTGTTACTGCTCCATGTTGCTGTGTTACTGCTCCATGTTGCTGTGTTACTGCTCCATGTTGCTGTGTTACTGCTCCATGTTGCTGTGTTACTGCTCCATGTTGCTGTGTTACTGCTCCATGTTGCTCTGTTACTGCTCTATGTTGCTGTGTTACTGCTCTATGTTGCTGTGTTATTGCTTCATGTTGCCGTGTTACTGCTCCAGGTTGCTGTGTTACTGCTCCATGTTGCTGTGTTACTGCTCCATGTTGCTGTGTTACTGCTCCATGTTGCTGTGTTACTGCTCCATGTTGCTGTGTTACTGCTCCATGTTGCTGTGTTACTGCTCCATGTTGCTGTGTTACTGCTCCATGTTGCTATGTTACTGCTCTATATTGTTGTGTTACTGCTCCATTAGCAGGACTGACTATATTAACTTTCCCGTTTGGGTTCCTGGGCCCAGATTGTTGGGGACGCACTTTAAACAACATCATGGCACATGAGTGCAAACCATAAGTGTTCCGTACTACTTCTAACTCAAGCCTGAGTCTGAAGAGTCGCAGAGCAGTGCACGAACTCTGCAGCACCGATGAGAATCTAGAAAATATTCTGGGTAGATTTCGAACTCCAAATTTTTGCTGGGGCAGCGCCATTAGGCTACTCTTTTCTATTTCCAACTGCCAAAAGATTTTTTTTTACATGTGCAACAATTGGACATCCGATCTTATTGCCTAGAGACCAGGGGATATTACTAGAAGTCCATGTGAAAAAATCCCAGCCTTCACCGGGTCCTGTCTGTTCATTTCTCTACACACCAAAACACCTGGAGACAATACATAGAGGACGCTAACTTCTCATGACTTCTGAAGTAATGCTTGCCACTCTGCACAGAGTATATGTGTCTGCATGTTTTTCAACCTGCTTGAGTCAGTTAAGATAGCTCGTTCTCAAGCCGGCGGAAGGCTGCAGTGACTTCCTCCATCTCCATTCTTAAATTAGATGTTGTGGTATCATGTGCCAGGTTGTCGTACACTATGCCATGTTCATTCACTTTTGCTAATAATCCCCACATACATCTGCCTCTCAACTCAGAGCCATCTGTATAATGAATCACATGATCATGAATCTTTTGTTACAACACACTTAAACTATGATAAAGAATTCGACCTCCTCACCTGTGTATTTAATGTCCTCCAGATCTTGATCTAGGACATCTGGCAACTGCTGTGCGATGTCCTGGAGATAAGAAAGGACATATTTATCCAACACATCTACTTTATAAAGCTACAGAAAGATACTCAGAGTATCTTGGACAAAGAAGATGAAAAAATACTGACATCTTGAAAGATCTGAACATCAAGGAAGATTGGCTAATCAACAGCATTCTTTCTCGAAAGCTGTAATATTTTGGTCATATCAAGCACCACGGATTGGAAAAATTATAGCAGAAGGCATATCAGGAAAGAGGGGCAGGGGTCGACCGACACGAAGATGGGCAAAGGATATAAGTGACTCCTTGAGTGTGAAAGTGTGTGAGGCTGGAGAACTGGCGAGAGAACTGGCGAGAGACTAAGTTCTGATTTACTTGACAGAATGTATATTTCCTGTTCCCTTAAGCATTCAGCGTAGAGGGAAATATGATATTGTGGTTTACTGATAAAATTGTTGGGTAACTGCTTGGTTGTTTGACAGAATAACTGACTAAATAGATGGCAAGTTTATTTATTAGTTAATCAGTTTGATGCATACATTTACAAGAATTTACTGACACTCACAGAAAAGGGAAGACGCTTGCCCAATCATTAGGAAAAAAAGAAGGCCAGAAGTTACAGTGGTAGTAAAACATGAAACCTTCAAAACACTATATCGCAAGGAAAGGTTACAGGATACAATACCTCTGAAAAAAACCCACCACACAGGATATAAGAAGAACAGCCCAATCACAGACAACTGTCATATCCAAACTAACACACATTTTATGAGTGTGGGTCAACCTTTGAGTTGTTTTGGCCTGGAAAATATATGTATAAAATATATGTTTCAATGGACACTGGGACAGGTGGAGCATACACTCTGGCACAGACAGGACATTCACACTGGGACAGGTGGAGCATATACTCTAGCACAGACAGGACATTCCCACTGGGACAGGTGGAGCATACACTCTGGCACAGACAGGACATTCACACTGGGACAGGTGGAGCATACACTCTGGCACAGACAGGAAATTCCCACTGGGACAGGTGGAGCATACACTCTGGCACAGACAGGACATTCACACTGGGACAGGTGGGGCATATACTCTGGCACAGACAGGACATTCACACTGGGACAAGTGGAGCATATACTCTGGCACAGACAGGACATTCACACTGGGACAGGTGGGGCATATACTCTGGCACAGACAGGACATTCACACTGGGACAGGTGGAGCATATACTCTGGCACAGACAGGACATTCACACTGGGACAGGTGGAGCATACACTCTGGCACAGACAGGACATTCACACTGGGACAGGTGGAGCATACACTCTGGCACAGACAGGACATTCACACTGGGACAGGTGGAGCATACACTCTGGCACAGACAGGACATTCACACTGGGACAGGTGGGGCATACACTCTGGCACAGACAGGACATTCACACTGGGACAGGTGGGGCATACACTCTGGCACAGACAGGACATTCACACTGGGACAGGTGGAGCATATACTCTGGCACAGACAGGACATTCACACTGGGACAAGTGGAGCATATACTCTGACACAGACAGAACATTCCCACTGGGACAGGTGGAGCATATACTCTGGCACAGACAGGACATTCACACTGGGACAAGTGGAGCATATACTCTGACACAGACAGGACATTTACACTGGGACAGGTGGAGCATATACTCTGGCACAGACAGTAAATTGGCACAAATATGATATTCACTTGGCCACAAAAAAGATGCAGGCAGAGGTAGGACATTCCCTCGGATAGGACATTCCAAAAAGTGTAACTTCTTCTTCTTCTTCATTTCCTCTTTTACCGCTGTGGGTGTCGAGGGAGATATTAGGTTCTGTTTCTAGCTCTTCTGGCCGCCTCGACCATAGGCACATCGTGCTGTTGTAGAGTTTCTCTGATGTTATCCTTCCATCTTGTTCTTGGTCTACCTTGTGCTCTACGTCCTTCTTCCCTTTCCATGTATGCTTTGTATGGTATGAGGTCACAAGGCATTCTCTCTAAGTGGGCAAACCATTTCACTTGCTGTCTTCGTGTGTAATTTAGAATTGGTTCTGTGCCGACTTTTTCTCTTATGATCTCATTCCTGATCTTATCTCTCATGGTCACTCCTACAGCCCTTCTCAGACATCTAATTTCCATTGTTACTAATTTTCTTTTATGGTTTGTTGTGAGTGACCATGTCTGGCACTGGTAGCACAGAGTTGGAATAAATATGCTTTGAATAAGATGTCTCTTTGTGTTGATTGGGATTGTCTTATGCTGTAAGAGGGGAGCTAGCTGTCCCAATACTTGGTTTGCTTTATTGCATCTAATGTTAATTTCTTTATCCAATTTCCCATCTTCGGTAAATTTAGTTCCCAGATATTTAAACTCAGATGCCTGTTTAATGCTTTCACTCTATTTCTATGTTTAGATCTGTCTTCCTTTTTCCTATTGACATTACTTCTGTCTTTTCAGTGTTGATTCTCATATTATTTGTTTTACATTCTTCATTCATGGATGTTAGATGCTGCAATTTCATGGCTGTATCTGCTATCAAGGCCTGGTCATCTGCAAAGAGTAATTTGTTGATCTTACTAACATTTTCATTCATGGGCTTGGCATTATTGCATATACTGTCGATGTAGGTGATAAACAGCAGTGGTGATAAGACACACCCCTGTCTTACTCCAGATGTTACTGTGAATGGATGAGATGTTCCCTGATTTATTCTAACTACACTTCTACAATTCCTGTATAAACTTTTGCACACTTCGATGAGGTGTTCGCTTACTCTTGCCATTACTTTCCATAATAATTGTCTGTCGACTCTGTCAAATGCCTTCTCCTGGTCTACGAATGCCACAAAAAAGTTCTTATCGTACTTATTGTTCTTTTCTATTAACTGTTTAAGTGTGAAGATTGCATCTGTGCAGCTTCTATTTCTCCTAAATCCCATCTGTTCTTCTGCCAGCTGTGGTTCTATCACTGGTCTCAGTCTTGTTTCTATTATCTTGGCATACATTTTGCCAACATGGCTTAAAAGAGAGATGCCTCGGTATTGACCGCATTCTCGTTTGCTTCCTTTGTTCTTCCACAATGGTATAACTATTGCATGTTGCCAATCAATAGGGGCAGTTTGTTGTACCCATGCTGCATTAAATATTCTGTGAAGCCATCTGATGCTGCTTTCACCTGCTGTTTGAATTATTTATGTTGGTAATCTATCAGCTCCAGGTTAAAAAAAAGTGTAACTACACTCCTAAAAGAAGAGAGAGAACCCACGCGTAACTGGTCACAACTAGAGACAGTAAAGTCACTGAGCTCACACCCCTACCTGCTGAGCATCAAAGATGACCGCACATTTACGAGCAAAGTCAGAGTACGCCTGGGACAGCTTCATGAGCCCTTCCTTGAGTCGGATCAGCTTGACAGCCTCGTTCTCCCGAATTCTGTCTGTCACTGCAAGAGAGGCACAAACCAGTTTAGCTTTGTGGGTCCACACACTGACTCTGTCATAAACTAATTCTTAGTGGATATGATTCATATTTTGGAGGTAAACATTTTCCGACATTGATGACTGGAGGTCTGTATTTTGAATCATATATTTTCCCTAGATTTATGATGTGAGGTCAGTGTGTGGGGATTGATGTTTGCTGCTACTCATTATATGAAGACAGAATTACAAATTTTTAGTTTTCATAGCTAGTAGGTGATGCACTAATATAAGGGGAAAGAAGCATGTACAGGGCTGAAATAGTTAGGGTTAAACATGTTTAGAGTTACATCCCTTGCTATACCCTGCTAATCCTACCTCTGTAGGTTACTTCCTGCCCAACACCCTCTTTCTGCATCAAATGTAAGACAAGTTTCTACTTTCTGAATGGGTGGCGGATAGTTCTGTGAGAGACCTCAACCCACAAATACGTGATTTTGTGTATTCCTGTCTGTAACTGTATTTGTGTCCAATTATGCCAGATACTGATGAAGGCTTTTTAGCCACAACATTCATTTGCTATTTGTGACTGTGAAGATGACTAGTTCTCACTAGTTCAGTAGAATGAAACAGTTGCAGAGAGATAGACATAGACAAGAGATCAGTAACAATGAAACAGTTACAGACAGACATATACAAGAGATCGGTAACAATGGAACAGTTACAGAGAGGGAGACAAACACACACAGAGTCAGAGAGAGGGAGAGAGAAAAAGAGGAGATCAGTAAGAATAAACATGGAGATACAGCACCTTCCATCTGTGCCAGATCTTTAGCTCTCTCAGCTTGGGACAACCGCACCTCCAGTGTCTGAATCTCTGAAGTAGAACTCTTCTATGAAGAAAAGCAATAATGAATTTTACACAGCTGAAGTTTAAAGTTGAGAGAACTGACTTAACTGCAACAGGTTTGATCCCATATGGCTCAGTCTCTCCGCAGAATAGCTAGCCACTTGCCGAGAGCATCGCATCAAGTGGCATAAAAATTTGACTCGTAAACTCAATGAGCCAGCCAAGAAACGAACATATAACCTTCAGAGCACTAGGCAAATGGCTTGACCACTTCATTGCAGAGACCCCCCAATAGGTCTTCAATGTTGAAGTGATTCAGAGTCCTGTTTGTACGATTCCTGGTCATCTTACTAACACTTTCCTCTTTTGAGATGCCGCCACTTTCCTTTTTTGAGATACCACCAGTTTTCTCTTTTGAGATGCCGCCAGTTTTCTCTTTTGAGATGCCGCCAGTTTTCTCTTTTGAGAAGCCGCCAGTTTTCTCTTTTGAGATGCCGCCAGTTTTCTCTTTTGAGATGCCGCCACTTTCCTTTTTTGAGATACCACCAGTTTTCTCTTTTGAGATGCCGCCAGTTTTCTCTTTTGAGATGCCGCCAGTTTTCTCTTTTGAGATGCCGCCAGTTTTCTCTTTTGAGATGCCGCCAGTTTTCTCTTTTGAGATGCCGCCAGTTTTCTCTTTTGAGATGCCGCCAGTTTTCTCTTTTGAGATACCACCAGTTTTCTCTTTTGAGATGCCGCCAGTTTTCTCTTTTGAGATGCCGCCAGTTTTCTTTTTTGAGATGCCGCCAGTTTTCTCTTTTGAGATGCCGCCAGTTTTCTCTTTTGAGATGCCGCCAGTTTTCTCTTTTGAGATGCCGCCAGTTTTCTCTTTTGAGATGCCGCCAGTTTCCTCTTTTGAAATACTACTAGTTTTCTTTTTTGAGATGCCACCAGTTCCTTCTTCTATAACTCTCCAAACTCCTCCTGGAGATGTGAACAGTTTCGATGTTCATTGACTTATTTTAGCTAGACTTCTTCTTTACGTCCTCTTTCACCACTTGGGTTTCTCAAGGGAGATATAAAGTTCTTCTTGTTGTTTTTCTGACCACCTCTTCCACAGACACAATGTGTTGTAGAGTTTCTCTGATGTTATCTTCCCATCTTGTTCTTGGTCTACCTTGTGCTCTCCATCATTCTCTTCTTTTTTGTGTGCATGCCTTGCATGCTACGGCGTGGCAAGGCATTCTCTCTAAGTGGGCAAACCATCTGATTTGTTATCTTTGTATGTAAATCAGAATTGGTTCTGTGCAGATTTGTTTCACCTGTGATCTCATTCCTGATTGTATCTCTTCTGCTCATCCCCCGCAGCCATTCTCATACATCTTTTTTTCATGGTTACTAATTTGTATACTTCTACCATTTTAATATAAACTTGTGGGTACTTTTCCTTTTGTTGACCCTATCTCAGAGACTGAGATTTCGTGAACAGTTCCCAGGAAAGTCTAATATTATAGGGGGTTTAGGGTTAGTTAGTTTCACACCCTAAAACCCCTGTATTATTCAGCTTTTCTGGGAACTTACCACAAAATCTAGAAGTCCCCAAGATGGGGTGAACAAAAAGAACAGAACCAACTTTTGCATATTCTAATGAGGCTATATCAATACACAGGAAGCTGAGGTTGAGGACCGGCTAGACATCTGCCAGACTGAAAATCTAGGGTTCAAATCTACATCATTTTTCATAATTAATTTAACCCTGTATAAAACAGGTCACATGTTATGTCCCGAGATGCTGACCATGTCACCCATCAAGTTTTGATTGGTCTATAAAAATACAGGCCTAACGCTTCCTGTGACAAAGTCGTGAGACATGATTTCACACATCCCAACCACACACACACACACAAATATATATATATACATACACACACACACAAGCTAGTAGGTGACACCACTGTGGTTAGTGCTGACTCAGACCCATTGTGATTGAAATTCAGACCCACTCTGATTAGTGTTCACACTCAAACCCACTGTGGATAGTGTTTAGACCCTGATTAATGTTCACACTCAAACCCACTGTGGATAGTGTTTAGACCCACTCTGATAAGTGCTCGGACTCAAACCCACTGGGGTTAGTGCTTAGACCCACTATGATCAGTGCTCACTCTCAGACCCATATTAAGTGCATGTTAAGTAACATGTTTGGTCTTCAAAGATTGAAAACTGAATCTGTTTTTTTCCTTATAAAATATTTTATGAAGTCTTTTGGATCAGGACTGGGCATAAGCTTGAGTCTTTTGGGTCAGGACTGGGCATAAGCTTGAGTCTTTTGGGTCAGGACTGGGCATAAGCTTGAGTCTTTTGAGTCAGGACTGGGCATAAACTTCTTTCTCAGAGTCACCAACTGCTGGCAGGATACAAAGCCACATACAGAAAATCCCAATGGATTTCAAGTCCAACCTCTTATCCATGATGCCTCATCTCTGACAACAATGTTATGGGATAAAAAACAGTATTTTTCAAACCAAGCAACACTCTAAATGCGAGCCAATACTTCTGCTCCTTAGCATACACCAGCTGTAACCTCCATCAGAAAGTTCTGGTTGTTCATCCACTTCTGGACTTTAGCCTTGTTCCCAAACATGACTTTTGAGTGCACAACCATTTTAAAGATCCTGATTATTTGTATGCAGACTGTTGGTTCCCCGCCTCTCAGGCAGATGCACCCCGACTTTGAAAGAAAAATCTCTAATTAATTAGACTTTTATGACATGCTTGTTGGAGCGGCAGTGGGTTTATTCACCCCCCCCCCCCCCCCAAATAGGGCCTCAGAATCCAAATAGGAAGAGCTGGTAGAACCCAGTATATTATGAGAGATATTGGATACGTACCTTGAAGGCTTTCTTCAGCTCTTTGCGAACTTTCATCTCTCTCTGCTCACATGCCATCTGTGCAAATTGTAAACAAATCTCATTATTATTAATAATAAATAATAATTAATACGAACAAAGAAGATATAAACAACAGACTGCACAATTTATTGCCAGGCATATTTCGCTGCATCTCATCAGGTTTATACTACAGTAACAATTAAATAAATGAAGTAAATAAGTGAAACCTTTATAACTGAAATACAAATTCAACAGCACTTAAAAGCAATTGCCTGTTTTACCAGGACAGTTGCAGTGTCAGAATAATTCAGAATCATGTCTTTCTGTTTACAAAGTTCAGGGTGCAGGTAACATGTCTTTCTGTTTACAAATTTCAGGACGCAGGAAACATGTCTTTCTGTTTACAAAGTTCAGGATGCAGGTAACATGTCTTTCTGTTTACAAAGTTCAGGATGCAGTTAATGATAATTAAATTAAATTATGTGCCATTTCCACAGTGAAGGTCAGCAACAGTGTACCATTGTTGTCTTTAAAAATATTACACAGTGAGATCCTATCTCTCTTCCACTGTGCAACACTCAATACAAATTTTAAACAAATCTCACTTGTAAAAATAATAAATATCAAAGAATCTTTTCAAAAAACCTACAAAACATGTCACAAAATGAAAGATCATTAACCCTTTTACCACACACAAGCTAAAATAAATGAATCATGAACCAATTAGAATTTCCACAAACACAAAAAATCCTTAAAATAAAAACAACCATTTTACACAGGTAACTAATTGTTTTAAAACTTATTTATCAATATTAAAATAAAATTTATTTTAAAAATAAAAACACAGATAAAGGAAGTAATAATAAATAAGCAAAAAGTATCAAGTATCAAATGGAATGTATTTCTTGGGGCCTAAAACATGTATCAGATGATTCATGCCATGACCCCATCACCTCTATCATTGAGGCTTACAAGAAAATGTGGCTTTTAAAAAGCCATTGGATTCACAACAGTTAATATATTCACATCCGGGTCTCCTAAATATTACATACAAGCGTACAGAAACCAGTGACATTTAACCACGCTTTCCGAGAACAGGTTACTGCAATAATGGTAACATATCGGCATTTCAGGGCTGTGTGACAACCAGACATGACCAGATTTAGCCTTTTTCTCCAAGCGATTTTATGAACAAGTGGATGAGCTGAAGGATATCAGGGATCAAGCAGACTGTGCAAGGGAAATAATTCAGTGAATAAAATTGAGCAGAGGGACTGGACAATTCCAGTTCGAAGAGGAGAAGACAAGCGGAGCTTTACTCAAGGGTCAGCTGGCACGATCAGTGTAGGAATTCACTGGCTACTGACTGAGCAGATGCAGTAAATGTGCAGTGATCTCAGTTCTTGGTTTCTTCATTCAGCATTCTTGCCAGGGTGAGGCAAGATACAAAAAACATTACTAAAACTATCTGTTTCATACATCTTCAAATACAAACTTAAGCCTTGATTACAAGTAGTCTGACTACAGAGGGGAGGGCGGTTGAAAAACAACCACAAAGCAGTGACCTGGCTAGAGACACAGATTTCCCTCATATCTGCTTTTTAAGTTATTCCACGTACATACTTAAGAAGATTGAGACAGGATGGATTTGAAGACAATGGTTGCAGTCTCTGAGAAAATTTCACCTGAGAGGAAACAAGATTCAGGACATTATTTTGGGATAAGAGGAAATGAACAAATGGATTGGCTTGTTGGCAGGGCCACAGCGGGCACCGGAAAGCAGTGGACCAGGCGGATGTTCTCAATATCTCAAGTGAATGATATGGTTGAGTGAATGACATGAATGAGCGAATGACATGGATGAGTGGGCACAAAAAAAAACTGAACACTCACAAAATTATTTCGGGATTGTGCCACGTGCCTCTCCCCTTCCAGAATCATCTCAAACATATGTCGGTAATCCTTCAAGTGCTCTGTAACACAGCAAACACTTTTGTAACATCACATTCTGAATGATGAATAATCACATCTTAGTAACATCACATTCTGATTGATGAATAATCACATCTTAGTAACATCACATTCTGAATGATCACATCTTAGTAACATCATAGAAATGGGCTATCCTCCGAATAATGGGCACAAAAGATGGCGGTCAATGCCGGCCAAAAACAGGGCCTCAGTCACGTGTCAATTGCGCACTCCTGGCGACTTAATTTGCAGTTTTCCGACGACTACCGCCACAGCCAAGAGTTTCCCCACGCTGCTCACGTGGCGTGGATTGGGGCTAAACTAGATGGCTGGGACTCAAGAGCAAAGCTGCAGGAGATGCGGAAGCTGCTGCTCGTGAGTCCTAGCCATCTAGTTTAGCCCCAATCCACGCCGCTCATGCGGCATGGGGGACTCTTGGCGGTGGTGCTAGTCGCCGGAAAACCGCAAATTAAGTTGCCGGAAGTGTGCAATTGACACATGACTGAGGCTCTGTTAGGATGTTTTTGCGGCCACCATCTTTTGTGCCCGTTATTCGGAGGATAGCCCAGAAATGTAACATTCTGAATGATGAACAATAACTTTGTTGGAGCATCACATTTTTAGTAATGAATAATCATATCTTAGTAACCAGCAAGGCAAACCCGGTCAACAAATTCCTACAGAAGTGGGATGTATTGACCGAAAGGTGAAAATATCACAGCCATGCTGTAAATGGACACAATGTATAATCTACATCAGCAATGAATAATCTACATCAGCAATGAATAATCTACATCAGCAACGTAAAATCTACATCAGCAATGTATAGTCTACATCAGCAATGTATAGTCTACATCAGCAATGAATAATCTACATCAGTAATGAATAATCTACATCAGCAATGTATAGTCTACATCAGCAATGAATAATCTACATCAGCAATGAATAATCTACATCAGCAACGTAAAATCTACATCAGCAATGTATAATCTACATCAGCAATGTATAATCTACATCAGCAATGTATAATCTACATCAGCAATGAATAATCTACATCAGTAATGTATTATCTATATTTTTGCTGACTGAGGACACTTTGTATGGCTATGGCTGACTCTGTTTGTGACTGGAATCACTGGCATAGGCGGTTGAGCAATTATGGGTCAAGCTCGTTTGCTGTGATGCCGGAACTGTAACGACTGACTGACTAATCTATATTATCAGTGCTGGTCTAAGCAGTCACAATGACTGCCATGAAGCTGGACTAGAGCTGCAGGTGAATTTGCCCACTGAAGAATGAATGGATGGACACAAAGTTGGATAGACATAAAGTTGGATAGATACAAAGTTGGATAGACATAAAGTTGAACACACTTCTTATCAAGAAACTTTCTTAGACAAAGTGTATGGAAAAGTCCGGGTAGAACAAAATTGTTCTTTTTTTTTTCATTTTCTAAACCTACAATTTCAAGCACGAGGATGAAGGTGGAAGCAGTCACAGCAGCTCTGAAGAAGAAAACTGAATTACCAGGGCAATGAGTGTCTGATTTTCAGTCGGAAGGTTCAAAACTGACAAACCTGGCACGAGTAGATAGCGAACATCACCAAATCAACATAATACATTTAGGCATGTGAATATATTGCCAGGAACATGCAGAAAAGCGAGGTAATGAAGAAGCAGATTTGTTTGCTACAAAAGCAATCACTGCAGGAACACTTATTCTGGACAAGGGAAACATTACAAAGACCAAACAGGAGATAAAATGTTAGATAGAAAAAAAATGTAAGGATGTGTAAATGTAGAGTTAAGTGTGGATCTGACAAGAAAGGAAATGTGAAAGGAGTATGATGTGTGTACAACCATATGTTACTGGAACATTCAGCATCAACACCTGAAGACATATGCTGTGGGAGACAGAGCACCCCTCAGTATGCATGGTGTGCTATGATGGGTGTTCATTCTTAAATCAGTAAATCATATCTTCTGCTTTGCGGTCGTTGGCTATAAACTCCGGCAGAGAGTTCTGGTTCTTCATCCACTTTTAGACTTGTTCCGGAACCTGAGTGCTGCATGCACATCCATTATACCGATCTGGCTTGTTTGTATGCAAACTGTTGGTTCCTCGCCTCTCAGGAAGTTGCACACCAACTTTGAAGGAAGCTCCCAATTAGTCGACTCATAAAACATGCTTTATGGGGAGGCAGTGGGCCTATTCTTGTTGTTCCCCACAGCAGAACCCTGGAACCCACATGAGGAGTTAATCATATCAAGAGTAACCAAATACTCAATAAAATCCTCTTGCTCCAAGCTGCTGAAGATGGCATTTGTGGCAGCTGCCGTACGCATTTAAAGCATGTGCCAGATGTTGGATTTCGCTGTGACTGCTGTTTGATTTTTCACAGTGGACAGTGATAGACATTGGCAAAGGAATGTTGAATTAAGAATCGACACTCCCATAGATGCTTAGACCCCATCTTCAGCAGCAAGCGAAGAGTTCCAATTCCGGTAGTACCAGTAGCTGTCTAATTGTATATCCATCTCATCCTTCCCCTGAGTGTTGAGGTTGAGTGTCGGCCAGATCACCTGGTAACGCCTTGCAGCGCTATCCTCCTTAGACAGAAATGATCTAACTGCACCTCCACACTGTTCACTTGCTCCCGAAGGGCCCTCAAAATATCTAGCTTGTCATACATCAATTCACCACCAAGTGGTGCAGTCAGCCAGTCTTTCTGCCTGCTCATTTCCCAACACACCGGCATATCCTGGAGAAAATATCCTAAGGATGCTAACTACCCGGGACCTCTGAAGTGATGCTTGCCACTCTGCACGAAGCATGCCTGTTTTTACCTTTGGCAGAGACATGTAGTTATTATGGGGGACCTGTGTGCCGTGAAGTTGGAACCATAACTGATAATCTAACCTAATCTGGCTCCAAGACAAAATACAAACCACCAAATTCCCGCTGAACCTCCGTCCACAGAAGATTCAACTCTGCTAACTGATTGGCTACATCTTGCAGGGCCCTGTTCTCCTCATTAACTGCCCACTTCAGGAAGTCCTGGGAAACTGCACACAAACCACACACAAATCATAAATAAATCACAGACAAATCTATACAAATCACACATAAACCACACACAAATCTATACAAATCACACACAAATCTATACAAATCACACACATATCTATACAAATCACACACAAACCACACACAAATCATAAATAAATCTATACAAATGTGACATGAATTACAAACTGGATGTAAGAAGGTCAGTAAAGGATCCTTGTTCACGTCTTCAGGCATATTGGGTTTTTAGGGCTAGACCTATATTTTACAGACCAAATGGCACTTGGTGGGTGATGTCGTTAGCATCAAGCCGGCCGCCTTTACTTCCCAGGACCGCACCTGGTAATCACTCAAGGCTGGGTCAACCTGGGAGCCAAGGTCATTTTTGGGAAAAAGTCCGGCCCTTGGGACCAGAACCAACGACCTTCCGATCCGCAGGCGAGCGCCTAGCCACTAGCCCACGGCGGCTCCGATGTAAGAAGGTATCACATTGAAATGAACCAATGAACAAACTTTGTTTCCAAAAGGTAACAAATTGATGCATGACAAGCTTAATGTTGTAAGAGTCCTTTCGGAGCCCGTGAACAATGTGCAGGCACAAACAGATCATCGGGGTCTGCAAGGAGTTACAAGGGATCTGGATCAAGGGAAAGGCAATATGGATACACAATCCGAAAGTTACTGGTGGCTTCAGAATCAGAGCTCTGCTCTTGCTGTTGAAGATGGGGATGGAGGGCTTATGGAAATGTTGCGAGTGCTGTGTTGTCAATTTTTAGTTCAACCTTAGAGTATAACATTTGAGAGAATCAACTCCACAGAGTTGTATCTAACATGGCCCAGCCCAGCCGCTACTGGCAACATGCTAAGAGTGCTGTACAAAGCAGGAACTGCAGATAAAGTGACTAACCGGAAAAAAGTGAACAGAAAAATTAAACCAGAAAAAGGAACAAACAAAAATGAACTTAATAAAAGCATTTAAAAAAAATTTGCTCCCAAGATCCAAACAACACCATCTGAAAACAAAACTAACACCTTCACAGACTGAGTCAAATGGTCTAACCACTCAGCCACTGGAATCTCCAATGTTAGTTGTTGGTTCTAAGTTAACTTGTTGAGTGTTGGAAAGATCAACTGCACTGTTGATCAAGAGGAAGTACAAGGTATAAGGGGCACCAGCAACAGGAGGAGGAGGAGAAGGAGATGAAGAAGAAGAAGAACAATCCTTTCCTTTTTTTCCACTTCGTAGCATGCACCAGCTGTGTAAACTCCAGCAGAAAGTTTTTTATCTTGCAGGCAGATGAACCCTGAATCAGTCAACTTGTACAACATGCTTGTTAACCCTCTTAGCACGGACGGGCCGATAATCGGCCGGCGGATGTCTGGCCAAAAACACGGAACAGCCGATCATCGGCCCGATCGTGTTTCGCCACGAACCGCTAAGAAATCACCTATTTTGAAACACTGAAAGTGATTCATTCATATTAACTGCTGTATTAGCCTTTACAAATGGCAACTTTCGAGTGTTTGGTATTGAAGTGAAAATTTTTGTTGAATTTTTTAGATAGTGACCTGAACCGCTAAAAGTACGTTTGACTTGTATGTTTCTGCCCCTAAACTTGATGTTGATAAAACATTAGAATTAAGTGATTACACTAATTCTGTAGATACTGATGCAGGATTTAGTGTTAGTAGTAATAGTGGGAATCAGATGGGGACGCTATTGTGTTCAGACCACAGCCAAACCATAGCTCAGGGTATATGCACATCCATTTCTTGTGCTGACTGATGGTGAAAAACACATGTCACCTAAAGATATTATTGGTGTTTCATATATATATATACCTGTTTTTGACTATTGAATTGCTTACAACATTTGCAAAAAGGCCAAAGATCAATAAAAAGATTTCAAATAAAAAAAATTTTTGTTTTTAGTTTCATGTTTCAAGCATTGAAGTTGAAAATTCAAATTTTCTATTTTTATATATGCAAATGAGATAATTTGCATATACATCAATTAATTTTAACGATATTGTGAAAATCATGAACTTCAATCTATATCCTTCAAATAGATATATGATTTCATGGGGGTCAGAATAACAGAAATCTTTCAAAAAAATTAAATAAAGTAATAACCAAATTCACTGAAAAAATGCTCCGTGTTTTTGGCTAGACCTCTGAAAAACCTCCCATGCTAAAAGGGTTAAGGAGGCAGAGGTCCATTCTTTTTTTCCTCCCCACAATGAGGCCTCAGAGCCCACATTGAACTCACATGGAGATCCAATCAGAACCCACACAGGAACCCAATCAGAACCCACACAGGGACCCAATCGGAACCCACACAGGGACCCAAACAGAACCTAATGGGGAACCAATCAAAACCTACACGGAGACTAAATTAGAACCCACACAAGGACCCAACTGAAACACCTGCGAGGACGGAGCGATAGTAGATTGTTTTATGTTGACTTGTTACGTGTTCGAAAGAACGTTTTAGTTGTTCACCCACTTCTGGACTTTGGTCTTGTCCCAGAACTTGAGTTTTGAGTGCACATCCAATTTACAGATCTCGCATATTTATATGCAGACTGTTGGTTGCTTACCTCACAGGCAGATGCACTCCGATTTCAAAAGAAAATCCCTTAACAAGTCACTTGTAGGACATGCTTATAGGGAGGCAGGGGTCTATTCTTGTTTCCTCCAGAATGGGGTCCCAGAACCCACACAGGAAAATCTTTTCATAAAGCCAGAAGAGCAGACAATAGATAAGAAACCACAAGCCATCAAACCTGTGGAGAGATCTTCTTCCTATTCACCAGCAGAAAGTTCTTGATGTTCGTCCACTTCTGATCTGTAGTCCTGTTCCAGAACGTGAATGTTGCATGTGCATCAGTTTTACAGATCTAACTTAGCTGTATGCAGACTGCTGGTTCCTTGCCTCTTAGGCAGGTGCATTCTGACTTCAAAGGAAGCTCCCAACTAGTCGACTCCTGCGATATGCTTGCTGGGGAGGCAGTGGGTCTATTCTTGTTTTACCCACAATGGGGCCCCGGAACCCACATGGGGGTGCTCAGAGAAAAATACCTGCATTCTGTGCATTCATGAAAGCTCTTGCAGTGTTGCGCATGTCCTTGACCTCTGACAGAAGTACATGAAGGTCAGTATGTCCGCCCCCAAGGGACATCAGCTTCACACCACTCCTAAGTGAAGAAAGGATACAAGATTAAATTATATGTCACAGAGTTGAGTTGATTCAGACTTCCAGGAATAATGGAGGAAAAGCTTGGCAGAATGTCAAGCTTCAAAGTTATTTTTGCTTCCGACAGTGCTTTGCTAATGCAGTTTCCATATAAGGACGGTTGTCTACTGCTTCCCTGCCCAAGCAACTGAATTTAGTGCCTGGCTGCAGCCCTGTGAGCTGTGTTTTTCCTGTGGAATGCCTTTCATTTGTGCAGTCTTTGTGTCGTGGTGTTCAGTATGACAGTTAGCCGGTTTATGAGTGAGCTGGTGAAATACCTTATGTAATAATTATACATTATATGTGTACAGTAACCAGCTCATCATGCTCGACTACTTCTATCAACGACAAACTGCATTTCTGGTAACTGTTGTTGGCTTTGGCACCTCTAGCAACTTACTCTGTGCGCATATTTTTGGATTGTTCCCAGACTAGTTGTTTGCTTACTAGTTTTTCAAATGGGTGGGGGGGGGGGGCATTTCATTCGATTCGCACTGGCACAGGAACGGAGCAAGTATGGCGAAACCCGACTGTGGTGATGTTGAAACCTCGACTAAGACTATGAGTTGATTTAAGAACCGAAGTCACAGCACTGGGGGCATTCCAACAAGCACTCCGTCCCCATATTCAGCAGCCAGTGCAGAGTTCCCATACCAATGGTGCAGGCAGCAGTCTGATTATACGCCAGTCTAGCCTTTCTTCTGAGTGTTGAGTATCGGCCAGATCCCCTCGTCACTCCCCGCTGCATCACTCTCACCAGATCTCCTCATCACTCCCCGCTGCATCAGTCTCACCTGACTGTGGTGATCTATTTGAAAGGCGTTGACCATGTCTGCCTTATCATGCATCAGTCATTCCTTCAGTTTTGCTAGCCTGTCTGTCTCCTGTTCAGCAAACAATTTGGCAGTGCTTAAAGTAAATTTCCCATGATTTGTTTGGTTAAACTCCCATGTCGATTACACATTAGGTGCATTTGTTCATAAATGGGCTGATGGTTAGGGCTAATAGGGAGAAACAGTTCGGAGAATATTTATGATGCAGTGGGAGGCTGAACGACGTTACTCCTGTATTGAGCGAGAGTGTCTTGCTTTGGTTTGGAGCGTACAGCGGTTCCAACCTTATTTATATGGTGTACAATTCACAGTACAAACTGACCACCAACCCCTCGTATTCTTGGCATCTTCTACCCATTTGAATCCAAGATTGATGAAGTGGTCTTTGCTACTGCAACCCTATTCATTTACTGTGGAATATATTCCTGGTAATCAGAATGTGGGAGCAGATTTCTTTAGCCGCCATCCCTTGTCTGATAATTCACAGACTGAAGGTGATGAGCAAGCTGAAAGTAGTGAGTCCATGGATGTGTAAATGGCTGATCATTGTTCATTCGCGTAGTACGCTCTTCCCTTTGGGGGGGGGGGGGGTACTGTCGTGAAATGATAAGCCATTACGCATCAGTCTGTAAGACTGGTAACCTAACTTACCTGTAATCGGCACAAAATTCAAACTTGGACTCGCCCGGAAAGATATAGTCCCTTATATCTATATATATAGGCCTTTATTGGACAACATTATTATGTCTACATTTTCTGGTTGCTTTAACTAAACTCCACTTTTAAATGTATATATCTTCGATATATATTAGAGGAGTTATTTGAGGTTTCTTAGAAACCGATGCACACCTTGCCCATGTATACTAGGGACTTCTTTTTTTACCAACGCCTGAAGTGCGTAAGTGACGCCATTCTTTCTTGCCGGTTCCAAGCGTCCAGACGTGTCAATCTATGCCTGTATAATTTCAATTTCACAAGGCGATCTGGAATGTTTCAGTTTTTGCATATGCTTGGGATAAATCCTTTGTGAGGAGCTGGCAGAAGTTTCACAGTCCAACCAACACCCACCAACCATAAATAAACCATAAACCAACTATCCACCAGCTGACACCTGTGAAGGTTCCTGACTTCATCAATATGTGGGAGCTTAGAACGCAAACAGCCTACCAGTGCTTGAGCTTAGTGGAGCTCAAAGACATTGTGTGTCCTAACTGGTGATAGAGACTTGCTAAGTACCAGTACAGTGCTGTGTCCTCTATGGTGAGGTACTATCTTACCACTTGATCCAGTGGAGCAGAATTCCCAGAGTCAAAGACAGTCGAATCATCCGGAGCTGAGGGAGGCATCATAGACAGAAAGAAGAGAAGCTAAGTTTGATGCCTGATTTGCTTTGTGCCTCACTGCTCCTATGTTTCCCAATGATGACAAGATGTCATCTCCAGGACCTTCTGTCTGTATAGTATCTTTGTGATTTGGACATGATATCCTGAGATCTAGCCTAGGAGATCTGGCATTTGTCTCAATTTTATTATCTATTTTATATTGATTACATGCATTCATTTTCATGGCTGACTTAGGTGTCTCTATTTCACCTTTTTAAGTGTTTAGCAGTTGTGTATGTATGTATCTTCATTATATGTGTTAACATGGTTATGATAATGAACTATCATAACCTGGAGGCTTTCTTTAGTAAGTAGTGGGGGTGTCCAGCCAAGTGTGCCTAGAAATATTGTATTCATATACTGACATATTTTGTAGTGCCAATACTTGAGTTGCCCTACTCCAGAGATAAGTTGAGCGTATATTGGCCACGGGGAATCCCTTAGACCAATACGAGCCAAACGACTCAACATAATTATCTCTGAGTGCTGTTGGTTCGGAAGGAGAAATCTTTACATTAGGCACGCGACAGGAGTGATATGTGACATTGCTGTCAGAAAAAATGTCATCTTTTTTTGTGTGTCCCAATGTACAGCCACATGATGATGATGTACAATAAGATTAGAAGATTTTTTGTTATTCTAAGAGATTGTTCCTCATTCAATTTGGTGCAAACATTTCCTGTGCTGTGAAGCTATGGCTTTTTTTAGTCTATATTTCTGTCAGGGAAAACTGTTTTCCCTTTTTTCCCCACTAATGTACAGTCATATGATGATGATGTCAAACAAGATTACGCAGTTTTTATTCTTGAAATCTGTTCTCGGTTCAAATTGGTGCAAAAACTAAAAATATTATGAGTAGTCAGTGGGTTAAACGATTGATGCCTGTGCAGAAAAGAGGGAATTGAATAGTATGACAGAATCACTAATGTAGAGCTTTGAGAGAGAACTAAACAAGTTCCAGTGGACCAAGAGGTGAAGAAAAGATACTGGCGGTGAACAGGACACCCCTTGAGAAAACTGAGAATAATATAACTAGAATGTCTTTGCACTGGAACCCAGGGGCATAGAAAAAAGGTAGACCAAAAAACACACGAAGAAAGGGACTAGAAACTAAAGTTAAAAGGATGGGGAGGACATGGGGAGAGCTGCATACAATAGCAACAGATAGAACGACTCGGTGTGAGTTGGCTGGGGGCCTATGCTCTCTCTATTAGGAGATAAAAGGTAGAAGAAGACAAAGATTATAGTGTATATATCACCTTCTGACAACCCGGGCAGCTTTGTCCATCTTCTACAGCTGCTGTGTCCACGTATGTTCTTGTTGGGTAAAGCTGTAAATGTTTCACTGCAAAAGATAATACAAGAGGATAAATGAAACTACTTCACTGATGAAATAAAATAACAAGAAACAGAAAGGTTACATTGCTGAAATAAAAAACAAGAAACTGAGAGGTTACATTACTGAAATGAAAAACAAGGAACAGAAAGGTTACATTACTTAAATTAAAAACAAGAAACAAAGGTTACATTGCTGAAATGAAAAACTAGAAATAGAAAGGTTACATTACTGAAATGAAAAAACAAGAAGCAAAGGTTACATTGCTGAAATTAAAAACAAGAAACAAAGGTTACATTACTGAAATGAAAAGCAAGGAACAGAAAGGTTACATTGTTGAAATTAAAAACAAGAAACAAAGGTTACATTGCTGAAATGAAAAACTAGAAATAGAAAGGTTACATTACTGAAATGAAAAAAACAAGAAACAAAGGTTACATTGCTGAGAATATTGATTCTGCACTGTGACTAGGTGTATGAGCGCCATATTAAATGGCTTAGCATTGCGTGCCACCAAGAAACCCTGAAAAGAACTCTTGCAGTGTTGATGAGATTAAGAGAGACATACCCAAATACAGTTCCAGCCAACGACGAAGCTATCTACCAGCCAGCCATAGGGTGACCCAGTCGCCAATGATGATAGATGTTTGCTTACCGGCCCAAAAGTCAAGGGTTCTAATCCACATTAGGGCAGATATTTTTCCAAACTGACCTCGGTGCATTAACTGACCTTGCATAAAATTCACATCAAGTATTGTTCTGGGAAGCAAGGATGGCTGGCGTGATTTTGACCACACCATTTGAGTATTGTCTGGTCTATAAAAATATAGGTCAACAATTATGTGGAATTCTAGAAAAATCCTTAAAAAAAAAATCTAATTTGGCAGCATTTGCTGGTACTCACAACCAAATGTGATCAGAACCCTACATTAAGTCTGATTGCTTCTCAGATTCTCGGACCCACCCCTCGCCCAATGCTATCAAGGCAGACACACTGTCTACCAGACAAAACTGTGCAGCTTACTTTTCACAACTCTCTCTTCTGTGAACGCTGAACGAGTGTTGTTTCTGGAATGTGTTGTGATTAGGTCTCAGGCACCACAGGCGACTGTGTGCAAGGAAGAAGTATCACAGGGGGATTTAGGGAGCACCGAAGGCGCAACGATTTATGAGTATCGATTCACTTATGTTTTTGTATTTTTACGCTCATTGGTGGTGGCTGTCGTCAGGGGTGGATGTGCTTAAAATGTTCAAAACAAGCAACACATGACACCCCTAGAACATAGGACAGCCTGTGGGAACCACTATGAAATCACGCAGCCAAACGAGATGGGGTGACAAATGTGAGTTGTACCCCCACCCTTCAAGGACCAGAAGTCCTTAGAAACAAAACTAATAAAAAACCTAGGTATTTCATGGAAACAAAAAACAATTAAATACAGAAGTATTTCGTGGAAACAAAAACAATCAAATACAGATGTATTTCGTGGAAACAAAAACAATCAAATACAGAAGTATTTCATGGAAACAAAAACAATCAAATGCAGATGTATTTCATGAAACAGGAGGGGCGGGGGATAATATATTCCAGCTACATTAAGACCTATTGCTCTTATAAAAATCTTACTGGCAGGAAAAACTGAAGATATGCAAGCAAGAGATGGACAACAATATAAATGGGAGGAACAAGTCAAGAGTGTGTGCAACCTGGACATAGACAAGAGAGTACTGGAGATCCATTTCCGTCAATAAAAAAGATTCTACAATATCTGGCCTAATGTGGTGAAAGGGTAGGCCAGATAACAAAAAAGCAGAATGCTGTACTTCTATAAATACTCAGTTTCTAGCCCACCAGTATAGTTAAAAACATCCTTTATATACCAAAATCCACTCTTATTCATATTTTCTGACTTTTAATACAGGTCAATAGTTTATAAAAGTTTCTGATATAGTGTACTGTATGTTTTAAATATTTATTATGGAAAACTGGAAGTCAACTAATTGTCTTCATTTCACTTCCACTAGAATACATTTAGCATTCAATTTTCAATTTCCACTCGACTTATCTTCCAGTCTCCAACTGTACTTTTCCTGTCTCCAAACAGTGAAGCAACAGTTTTCACTGTTACCTCAGAGCGTAGTCAGTTTATAGGGCATAGTTTCTCCTCCACTGTCACTACAACCTCTGTTTCATTTATCACCCACCCCAGAGCTCAGTCAGTTTATAGCGCATAGTTTCTCCTCCACTGCCACTACAACCTCTGTTTCATTTATCACCCACCCCAGAGCTCAGTCAGTTTATAGCGCATAGTTTCTCCTCCACTGTCACTACAACCTCTGTTTCATTTATCACCCACCCCAGAGCTCAGTCAGTTTATAGCGCATAGTTTCTCCTCCACTGTCACTACAACCTCTGTTTCATTTATCACCCACCTCAGAGCTCAGTCGGTTTATAGCACATAGTGTCTCATCCACTAAGCTTCTAAATTCTTCTCTCTCTCAAATGTTATGTTTCTGATTCTGCCTATACATTACACAACCCTAAATTCTCCAATCAATGCTGTCTGTATCTTTCCATCATACAGTATTCCATTATTCTATAGAGAGGCAAAGGAATTACATATTACAGCCCATGATTATACAAATTGAGGTCAGGGAGGAAGTTCTTCCTTTCCATAGCACAAAGCCTGGGAGACAAAGTAAAGACCACAAGTTGCCCATGCAGTATTATATCTCGTTAAACTTGCTTTGCTAACTTCAATGGAAAGATAACACCAATATGATTAAAACAAAGCATGTTGCAGAAGTTATCGGATCTTCTTCTTTGCGTTCGAATTTTGTATGCTCAGACCATCAGGTGGGTTGCCTCTATGAATTCACATGTCAGCAGCAGGTCCTTCATGGTTCCCCATAGCTTGCTCTACACACTTTGCTCATGAAACCAGGTGTCTTTTTGAAACTGTAGGTAGAGTGGGCAGGTCTGCAAGATGGGCTCAGGTGTTTGTGGTCCTGTTTGACAGGCACTGTGGGGACTAAAATCTTTATTTTATGCATGTGGTAGTTGAGCCTTCAGTGTCCGGTTCGCGGACGGGAAAATTGTTGAATGTTGCTTTTTGCTGAGTCTGATCACATCAGAAAAGCAGTATTCTGTCTGAACGCCTATTGGATCAGCTACCAACCACAGGTAAAGGGCCTGATCTGCTCTGCCATAATACTGATTTGTCAGGTTGCACTTTCTTGTCCGAGAATAATGTTAGTATTCGCCCCAATATGCGCCCCTAATTAAAGCAGTTTCAAACAATGAAATTATGTCATTTCCAAAGGTGCTAGCTGTTGTCACAGCCACCATCAATTAATTCTTCTTCCTCTGTGTTCATCCAAATGTGTAATTGCACATTGCCTATTTACAATGTGGTCACAACCTTTTGGCTGACACATCCAACTTCTACAGGCATTTGGTGTCCGGGTTAGCCTTCCTGGCAACTCAAAAAATTGATTCTAGTCATTAAAAATTTGTGAAAAAAAAAATCGTTTATCTGCCAGTGGCACATTAAGCATTTGATGACAGACTAAAATTTGTATAGATTAATTGGGGTTAGGTTCACGTTAGTCTCCCCAAAAAAAGTAGGTCACTTTTCATTCACAAGTTTGTTGGGCTGGTCAACTTTGCTGAAGGTTAAGGGTGTGTCCCACTCTGTTGTTTGCTTTCTGCAATGTCTTGCATTCAAGTTTTTATTCCGACCAAGAGAATGTTTGTGATATAGGTTGCAGCACTCTCTAGGGTTGAGTGTTAGGCCCAGTTTCTCCATGTTTTTGGAGTGTTAAAATCACTGGCGTGCTAAAATATACAACACGCGATATCAGCGGTATTGCGGAACAACCCCCGTAACCGTGTGCCAAGGTGACAGGTTGAGGAACTACCAATCAGAAGGAGTTAGAGTGTTTATTGGCGTTACTTTTACCTTAATTGGCACTCGATGTGGTAAACATTACACAGGCCACCTTTACTTCCCTCAACATTATCTGGTACTCTATTGGGGAGGGGGGGGGGTGGACCTGGGAGGCATGGTCAATTCTGAGGGGGAAAAATCATCCGACTTGATGGGGTCTTTAACTTCAGGCCTGCAGGTGAGTAATCATGATATGACAGGACTAGTTACTCTAGTCATTTACGATTATCGTCTTATAATTATATCCTTCAAAATTACAAAGTGAATGAATTTACGCAAACTGATTAACGCATACATAAAAAAAAAAAAAAATTTAGAAATAATAATCAGTGCTAAATGATATTTTACATCAAAAGTAAAATAATTCACTATTGACCTGGGTCATTGAATTGATTCGAACTTGTCACTTTCACTTTCCGATGATTCGTTTGATTTAATGAATTATATAATCAAACATCATATACATCAGTCCTTGACCAATTGTGCATCATTCTTTCTTAAGCTTGAAAACTGTTTGACATATTGAATATGATGATAAATAGAACTAATCACTCAAAATCGAAATCACTCGACATCTTGCTCAGATCCTGACCTCACACTCACAGCGGCATTATTCATTATTATCATTATCTTTTCAGTCGCCCCCTCAAATTTCCCAAAAAACAAAACTTCCCAAATCTTAAATGCTTCTAAACCTAATTGTACATTTATAATACCTGTGGTCTTGTCAACCAGTTTATAACACCATCTCCGCACGGTTTCTCGACAAACAAGAATAAAACAGTTAGAATGTAGTACCACCAACAACGGCCGTTTCTGTCTGCAGAAGATAAAACTAAACCGGAAGTCGGTTGTAACCAGGCCATGGGAAGTGTAACCGAGGCCAGCAGTCTAGTGCAACAGTCATAAGAAACGCATCATACGTTCATAGGTTCCTACCTAGAAGGCCAATAAACGCAAGATGTGCCGATTTTTCGTCTCACTTTACTACCCCTTGGTCTC